GAGGAGTGGGAACAAAACTAAACAACTCTCCCCCAGGCAGAAACAACACCACCTCCAGAGTTCCCCAACAAAATACCATGCAAGACCCATTCCATAAAGGATAAACAGCCCCAGGACAGTCTGAAGTAACAAGCAGAACCACCCAGGATGACAGACTATGTGACTATGAAACAAAAGACTAAAAGGATAACATAGCAATCTGGGAACAGCAGCCAGAAGCTAAAACCCCCAGGAAGCACACAGAGGTAGAAGAATGTGCCCATTCCAAAGAGCGCGATAAATAAAACCAAACTAGAATAAAGACTGGTCCAAGCCAATGAGAGAATGGTGGCATGAGAGAAGCTGTTTCCCCCTGCCAGAAACCAACAGGGAGATGAGAAAGACCAGCAATGGCTGTGAACTACACACAGCATTAACCACCGTAAGCAACAAAGAAAGTTTCCCACCTGAAGACCTGAAGTTGGACCAGGAGATGGAAGAACAACCTCCTGGATAGGACGGAAAAAAAACCACCACACCTAGAAGGGAAGAGACTTAAGACCTGAACACTACCTTTCCAACCACAAGACCATCGATACTGGACAAGAATGCTAGAACAAAACACAAGCCTTGTAGAGGTGAAAGCAAAAAGGAAAGCAACTATGAACAAGAGCGTGTAGTGAAATTTGGAGCAGCACTATACAAACATATACAGATGAACGAAGATTCCCAGCAGGGAGCTTAGGTCCCAACTACTTGACACTAGGCAAAAAAAAAACTGAGCTACCTCTTGCAGTTGGGGGGCTGCCCATAACTCAACCTTAAAAGATCTGAAGACCTCCGATGTGTCCTTCAGTAAATGAAAGAGAAATATTTTTTTCAATGAGCATGAACATCCAGACCCATTTATAAACAAAATGATCAGGGACATTAAAAGACAGAGAAAGTCCCACATAAAGGATAAAGTCAGTCAAAGCATAACATTCTATAGGTGAGAAATGTTCCACTGTACAGCTATCCGGTACCCAGGCTGACAATATCCTGCCTCATGTCAGACCTAACACAGCCAGAGCATGCAGTGGATCCCTTCAATGTGTGGTTCCTGTAAATCACGCAGTTCTTATGAATTGATTTTTAACCATTAAGTGGTACTTCTGGAACTCAGGTAAGCCTCATTATAGTGATGACATTTATCCAGACAGTTCTACTAAAAGCAGAACTTCAGGCAAACAGCCAACACACAAACTAGGTATAGGGTACAACTGCCAAAAGACTTTCTTCTGGCCAGCAAGTCCTGTGATTCACATACCTCTGCCATATTGCACAGCCAGATCAGTGACTGATTTTAGCCAGACTTTGTAGGAAATTACAGAATATTCTCAGGTATACAAAAATATTGTGTATACAAGGGCATCTGGAATCCACTTTATGCAGTTTGAAGCACAGGTGTATGTACAGTCACTTTAAAAAAAAAAAAAAAAAACTATGAATAGAGTGGGGCAGGATCAGAAGCTCTCTGGATTTTTTGCTATCCACCGTTCCCATTAGAGAGATTTCCTCTTACTTACTGTACCGATGACAGTGGTTTGTCTGCTGTGAGAGATTTTCCCCTCAATTCCTGTCTGGTTAAACAGTTGTCACGGAGAGAGCGGGAGGGAGAGAGCGGGAGGGAGAGAGAGAGCGAGGGAGAGAGAGAGAGAGCGCGAGGGAGAGAGAGAGAGAGCGCGAGGGAGAGAGAGAGAGAGCGCGAGGGAGAGAGAGAGAGAGCGCGAGGGAGAGAGAGAGAGAGCGCGAGGGAGAGAGAGAGAGAGCGCGAGGGAGAGAGAGAGAGAGCGCGAGGGAGAGAGAGAGAGAGCGCGAGGGAGAGAGAGAGAGAGCGCGAGGGAGAGAGAGAGAGAGCGCGAGGGAGAGAGAGAGAGAGCGCGAGGGAGAGAGAGAGAGAGCGCGAGGGAGAGAGAGAGAGAGCGCGAGGGAGAGAGAGAGAGAGCGCGAGGGAGAGAGAGAGAGAGCGCGAGGGAGAGAGAGAGAGAGCGCGAGGGAGAGAGAGAGAGAGCGCGAGGGAGAGAGAGAGAGAGCGCGAGGGAGAGAGAGAGAGAGCGCGAGGGAGAGAGAGAGAGAGCGCGAGGGAGAGAGAGAGAGAGCGCGAGGGAGAGAGAGAGAGAGCGCGAGGGAGAGAGAGAGAGAGCGCGAGGGAGAGAGAGAGAGAGCGCGAGGGAGAGAGAGAGAGAGCGCGAGGGAGAGAGAGAGAGAGCGCGAGGGAGAGAGAGAGAGAGCGCGAGGGAGAGAGAGAGAGAGCGCGAGGGAGAGAGAGAGAGAGCGCGAGGGAGAGAGAGAGAGAGCGCGAGGGAGAGAGAGAGAGAGCGCGAGGGAGAGAGAGAGAGAGCGCGAGGGAGAGAGAGAGAGAGCGCGAGGGAGAGAGAGAGAGAGCGCGAGGGAGAGAGAGAGAGAGCGCGAGGGAGAGAGAGAGAGAGCGCGAGGGAGAGAGAGAGAGAGCGCGAGGGAGAGAGAGAGAGAGCGCGAGGGAGAGAGAGAGAGAGCGCGAGGGAGAGAGAGAGAGAGCGCGAGGGAGAGAGAGAGAGAGCGCGAGGGAGAGAGAGAGAGAGCGCGAGGGAGAGAGAGAGAGAGCGCGAGGGAGAGAGAGAGAGAGCGCGAGGGAGAGAGAGAGAGAGCGCGAGGGAGAGAGAGAGAGAGCGCGAGGGAGAGAGAGAGAGAGCGCGAGGGAGAGAGAGAGAGAGCGCGAGGGAGAGAGAGAGAGAGCGCGAGGGAGAGAGAGAGAGAGAGAGGGCGAGCGAGAGAGAGCGAGGGAGAGAGAGAGAGAGCGAGGGAGAGAGGGAGAGAGAGCGAGGGAGAGAGGGAGAGAGAGCGAGCGAGGGAGAGAGAGCGAGCGAGAGAGAGCGAGCGAGCGAGAGAGAGCGAGCGAGAGAGAGCGAGCGAGGGAGAGAGAGCGAGCGAGCGAGGGAGAGAGAGCGAGCGAGGGAGAGAGAGAGAGCGAGGGAGAGAGAGAGAGCGAGGGAGAGAGAGAGAGCGAGGGAGAGAGAGAGAGGGAGAGAGAGAGAGAGAGAGAGAGAGAGAGAGAGAGAGAGGGAGGGAGAGAGAGAGGGAGAGAGAGAGCGAGGGAGCGAGGGAGAGAGCGAGGGAGAGAGCGAGGGAGAGAGCGAGGGGGAGGGAGGGAGAGAGAGAGGGAGGAAGTACGCCCCCCCATTCTAATGAAGGCTAAAATAAAAAAATTGGGCTGGACATGCACTATTTTTGGGAACCTTTAAAAACAAAAACCTGCAACTGTTTACAGACAAGCTCTATAAATGCTCACTTTTTCACTGTCCATCATATCATATATCATTGACTGCTATAATGGTCGACTTAAATACATCTAGTGCAACACAGATGGTCAAGCAGCCCTCTGTTTGAAACAACTTGGTCACAAAGCACCTTTGATATAAAAGCATTTTAAACTTTATTAATACTCAGGACAATAGGAATTTCCAGAATTTTCTTTTTTTTTACTTTCTCAGTAGCATTTGTAGAACCACTTTTCGATGGTAAATACAGTAGTTGAGAACGAGCATCCGGTCGAAAATGCAGACACATGTTGCTGAACAAAAAAAACATAACCCTTTTCCCAGCGGGGCTGGCACTGTGAGATCAAGAGTCCACAAAAACACAGCAAAATGATCCCAAACCTCCCCTCTGAGGTCACATCCTCTTTTGCTGGAACACTTTTATTAATACAGACTCACTATAAAATAAGGCAATGACTTCCAAACGGCTCGAAAAAGGTTTTCTTACGTTTTACTTCTGGACACAATTCAGAAGCACTTTGACAACCTTGTCCTGTTGCGTACGCTTTTAGTGTTTTTTTCTTTTTCCTTTATTTCAAAAAAAAAAAAAAATGGTCCAATAAAATTTGTAGGATAATAATGGCTAAAAATATAGGTATCTAAAACAGCCCTGTGGTTTTCTGCAATGGTGTAGCAGGTAGAATTAATACTGGTTTCATTTAACATGACTGACAGCGTATTTTGGATATACAGAGAATACAAGCTTGACTTTCAACAAACATTGCTTTACCAACACCCTGTCCTTCTACTGCAGTCTCTAGGGTCTCGTGCTTGACCATGTCTTGTCACTGTGTCACTAGCCACCTGGGTGAGCCTGTGTAGAGCCTTCTGGCGCAGTTAAGGTAAAAGCAATCATCACAGAGACGGCTGATCTTTGCAGGAAGCGTGGATGTGTTCTTTGTGGAAATAAGATCACGAGCCATGCCTACTTTCAATCCTGCATATTCAGGTGCATCTAACTCTCCAATGGCGGTCCCATTAGAAAGCAGACCTAGTTCTAGTTCCACCTTCAGTGGACTCCATATGAAAAAGCTCTCTGGCATTTCAACCATAACATTCTACATCAGTGGTAAATAAGCATATATCTTAGTCCAACAGGAAGTTATTGTAAATATGGAGCACTAGGACTAGATATCAAGTGCAAAACATTTACACACTGCAGTTAACCTTTCAGAAATTACAAAACGTTCCACAGGAGGTCCCATAAATATGTGTAGGCGCAGCAGTCCTCCTGGTGTTTGCCAGATGGCCAGTCCAGGCCTGTCAATCATAAAGAACCAGGTTTCTTTTTTGCACGTTTCACCTGAGAGTGCTAAACACGGGCAACATTCAAACAGCTCCAGGCACAGCGACAAGAAGGGTGTGAAAAAAAACACACGGGCCCATACCCAGATTTCCAAAACTGAAAATAAGCACCAGAGCTAAACTGGTATTTTACAAAAAATATATATGTATATATAACACACACGCCAGTACACAAAACTGTTACAAGAACAGTTCTGTAAAGGACATTCAGCTCTTGAAAATGTGCAAAGGAGGGATACAATGAATTACAAAGAGGGGAAGGAAAAAGTAATCCAGAGAAGGAGGATGTTCCGCAAACTTAGAATTTAT